TATATATATAGTAACTATGCTAATTAATATCTAGTATATATATAGTAACTATGCTAATTAATATCTAGTATATATACTAGTATCTATAATGTATACATATTGCAGATATGTTTCTGCTAGTGCTGTAGTAGTGTACGAACTATGAACACGACAGAACTATGCTGTAAGACGTTGTAAATACATGGCAACATATCCTATCATTCATTTAATTGACTATTCATTCATTGATTTGATTATTGCCAACAAACAGAAGCCATCTGTCTGGCACAACCGTATATATAACAGGGTGCGAAATTAACGCGAGTCCGGAGTCAAATACTCCCTGATTTACTGTCGGACTCCCTGATTTGACATATGCAGGAGTCCGAATTCTGCCATTCTAACTAGTTCGTTCCAGAGCACGGCCTCGTGGAATTACCGTATTTTTTCAGCAAATGACCAAAAAAAATTTGCCAGCCGTGCAACCGCACGAATCTTCAAAATAACCACATGCGTTATGTAGTTTGCATCTTTAGTTTTGAACTTCAGACTGCGGACTACCTCTTTTTGAAGGCAGGGAGTCCTTTCGCTTGTTCAAAAGTTAATTTCGACCCCTGTATAATGACGACACACTGGAAGCGTTTCTCCTCATCGTCCACTCCAGTTAACAATTCCTGGCAACATGGCATTCACTGAGGGAGACTTACATTGTGCTGCTGAGGTCGAATAAGCATCAGCTTTGCAGTAAGCGAGGGTGACAGCTGCGTGCACAGCACCCTGTAAAAAAAACAGCATCCCACTCATGCATCGTGAAACATTAGCATTAGTGGCGCCATCTGTGGAGAAAAAATTTGAAAAACGAACAACATTGATTTCTGCCTGGAAACGCGGGTGGACTTACAGTTCTACGTTAATTGCACTAATTATTACTACCGAGTTACAACGAAGCTACACACTTTTTCCTGAAGATAAGGCAACCATCCAGCACTCCTTTACCGCCACGGCATGTCTGTAGGAGATGGGATGCCTTCAGGTAAAGCCGAGTCTCTCCCTATTGAAAAAAAATATCCAACTACAGTCAACGCTCAAAATTCCAAACCCTCTCCAAACCGAATCGCATGTTAAACCGGAAGATGTTTTAAGTCGCAACACCATCTGAGACATGTAAGATATGCCTGCAGTAAGCCCGCCTCTATAAACCAAACTTCACAGAAAACCGAACTAATGGGCAATCCCGAGGGTGGTCAGTATTGGGAGAGTTGACCGTACAGTTTTGTTCGTGTCGAGATACAGGCGTCAGTAAATGTACGAGATGCGTGCTGAAATCACCTGCATGAGAATGACAGCCATACACACACACACACACGCACGCCCACACGCACGCACGCACGTACACACACGCATGCATGCACTCAGCCACATGTCATGTCGCACTCTAAAGGAAACTCGATGTCGAATATTACCCACTACCTTTGGCAGCTGCAGATCTGGCAATGATCCAAAGCCTGCAGCAATCTCATCACCATAGCAACGCAGAAACGGCACCAGCGTGTCCCAGATCCTTCCCATGTGAGTTTTGAAATTTACGGCACTGATGAATTCCACACTCTAAAAAATAAAAGTTTCAAATTCATAATTTATCAGTTATTAAAATTAAAATCGATGGTAAAATTTGTAAAATTTTTGTTGCCATTTTTTTACATTAAAAGTATTACAACTAACGGGACTAAACGTATCGTCAAATTCTTACCTGATAAGATTGTTTCTCAACTAGATGATTAAATAGCTTCATCGGATCTCTATAATTTACATGCTAATAAAGTTAATCTCAGTTAGATCCATAATCAGTACAAAATAACTTACTCTGACGAAATGGAAGTCTGTCGGAGAGATGGACGAAAATTTCGTCAGAGTAAGTTATTTTGTACTGATTATGGATCTAACTAAGATTAACTTTATTAGCATGTTTCTCAACTAGTTAAAAATCCAAAAAACCTGGACGATTTGATATTAGTGTTCCTAACATTAATTGCTTGCTATGGGCTATGTATGCATCACGAGTGTATGTTCACATCAAACAATATAGTAAAATAAGAAGTATAATGCAGCAATTTAACCATAAAAAGTGAACAGAATTACTTATATTTTGTGAAAAAGTGGGAATATTTTTTTTATTTTTTACTATTTACGGTGACGTAATCACTTTAAACAGTATAAATTACCGGAATTTTTTTTTACAATTACCTAACCATCATTGAATACACATGTAGGTTTAATAATTCCCACGTTGCATAAGTAAGAGATGAGGTTACAGGAAAATGATACTTGTACGAATGCATACATATGCATACTACCACCTGTTGGCACGAACCACAACTACAATGTTCAGTACTGGTAGTGCTGTTGATATGCTTCCATGTTCTCTTTTGTTCCTTTCTGTCACGCGCGAATAAAATAACTGCTAACCTTGGTAACTCTCTCGATGCTGTGGTGATAGAGACGGAACGTGTCGCACAGCCTGGTGATGAGCCGTGTTGCAACACTGTCGGGTGCATCCACATCGCAGCCAATCACCTGACAGTGTGCAAAATCAACGACTGCGTGAAATAATTCTTTAAAAAAAATCGTACGACGATATTAACATCACGGCACAAATAATGGTGATTGTTTAAATGCATCGTGTTGTGCATTGTCATTTTTACTCACCAGGCTGTATTTGCCAATGTGCTTGAAGGCATATTTTGTGGTGGCCATCTTAAACACAGTTGGCAACGTTCCGGTAATAGACGTTAGGAAGTGCGACATCCCCATAAGCTGCCCGCAGAGTGCTACCTGGTCATTGACAGATACCTACACACGAATAATATCATTATTAAACATGATAACGTGTATAGAGTAATAACTGAACACAAGTCTAGTTGCCAAAAGTTGCAAAACAATGTAAAACTTCACAATACTTGCTTTAATAGCTGAAGATAAAGAATGTATTTGCTTTTGGCAACTTACTGTAGCTGGGTGGAAATAAATTATTGCATTGCTGGGATCGTCTGATTCCTTTTCGACGATACACTTGTCATACATAAAGAACACTGTCGGTCCGATATCGGCCATGTTGTCTCCTTGGGGAATCCCAAATAGATCTCTGTTGTATCCTGCGTGCATATCCGTCTAGCCTTTGCCTGCTCTTAATTGGCAGGTAACGTGCAAGTTCATTACATTAGATGTTTACCATCACCGTGACATAAATAAGTAGATTTTATAATCAAATGAATACGTGCGTGCTTATATCATAGTCTCATAGTGACATGGACAACAAACCATCCATCCTTGAATCCAAATCGGACACGATTAAATCAACCAAAAAACGTACGATTACCTAGACTAGAGACTAGAGTAGTGATCGATGTCTCCCGATTGTTATAAATACACTGTTAGATTGTGTTTGACACTTTTCTCTTACTTGATTTCAGTCTAAATTATGCTACACAAAAAAGTTCGTTCATTCGGTTAGCTTAAAAAAGCTAGTGAACTTACCTGCACCAGACGTAGTATTTGTTTATTTCATCATGTTTCCTGTAACTTCTAAACAGTGGGCGCAGCCATGTTGCAGTCATATGGGGCGGTCACGTGCTATACACTGCAATATTTTTCTTTTACTCCTTGCTTTTTACCCCGAGTAGATTGATGTGATAAGTATAAAAAAAAATTAAAGAAAATAATAATATTATTTACAAACTTTTTGCATAGAGCAATGTGACATTTAAAGTGCATAACGAAAACACTGTATGCAGTGCGAGTTTATTGCCTGGTGATGGGTCATGGCGCGGTCACGCAACATGGCGAATTGTGTTCTACTATTCCTGCTACAACTACATACAAGTACAAGAGTTCAAAATTAGGAAATTATTTCTATTGTAGCGTAGGTAATTGTGTATTTGGCCTCAATGGACTTATGGAATTTGTATTTAATTTAACTGATTTTGCGTAACGCACGGTAACAAGTGTCAAGTAAATGAAACAAGAAGTGTAGTGGCGATTAGTGCCCAAGCGCTAAATTATATTCATTCATAGAATCATACCTAGACAACACTCAGAGGCGTACACACAGTGTCAGTGGTAAGTAACCCCCTTAGTCACTTGTGAATAGTTGCCAGTCCGGTTAGTGTGTTGCATCTGCACACATCATGCCTAATAAACTATGCCACCTCCACGTTCTGTCCATGTCCTAACCCCTGTTGCCATGTTGTTATAAATGAACGCGGGCTATAGCCTATACTACAGTACTAGAGCTACCCATATGTCCCATTTCCAGCAGAAATGGAAGGCCTTTGGCTTTGATCATTGTCATTGACATTGAATGATTGATGCCAATGATGGCAGAGTAAAATACGTAAAATGTGATAACTTGGTAGCCCTATCTTTACGCACTAACTTCATAGCTATGCATAAATTGAAGAGACACTTCGGCCGTTGTTTCTTGTGGCCAAGAACATAGATCGCATCCCCTGAAATCACATCAGGGCAGTATGATTGTGGGAAAATCTTCAATTTATGCATAGGTGTGAACTAAGTTAATCAATTTCTTATCGCACTATTTTCCTCTAACATCAAAGTGGCATAGTTTATTAGGTAGGTTGTGTGAAGGATCTTACACACTACCCGCCGTTTCACTTAAGTAATTCATTAAACTTAAAGTTATGTAATATATGTACAATGTAGTATGTCATGGTTACACACACACACTACAGAAAGTTTTGGCCCATCCTAGTTTAGCATCCCGGATTAGTTTAACACATACGAAAAGACATTCGCGGGGTCCCAAACTATCTTAGATCCGAAAGTTTTAAGACTGCTGGTTGTCAATGGATAGTAATCTCATTTCGTAAACTAGGTAACTGTTCAGCAATCAGCATTCAATTGGGAATAGTGTAGCGAACACAAACGATACTCATTACTGTTTGCATGCACCAAAGGGACAATGACACTACACGAGCATGAAGGACTTCCCGATCGAACGACTGCCAAGCAGTTTTACTCCAAGTACGAACCAAAGGAAGTTCTTGGAAGGTAAGCTAGGGACCAAAACGTATTTTACAGATGCAAATTTCAGTCGTGAAATGACGGCAGAAGTACAGCATGTATACTGACCTTAAACCAAGGTATTTGGCAATATAATGATCAGGTGTGCAATGGCAGTACAGTTAATTGGTAGATTTTGCTAAGAGTGGTAAAACAAACCATAGCTACCCTGTAGGTCAGAAACCACAGTGTAAATCAGGGTTGCTCATCGTAACTGTTGCAAGTATAAATTTGTCCTCGGTGGATATCCAGCTGCACATTTTGTGTGTGTGCAATGTGTGCATTGGTGATTACTTAAGTAAACAATTCAAAATCAAATAGGTGCTGTAGAAAGTGAGGATGAGGTGCGAATGCTTGGCAGAGACTGTAACCAGCGGTAGTGTCTGGCTTGGGCACTGGTACGACTCAGTGCACAAGAGTGAAGGACCGATTTGTATTAGTAGACGGCACCTTATCATCGCTTATCTGAAGAAGATATAGAACATGTTAAGGGGTCATTCACTATTATCAGTAATCACATGTTTATCGTGACCACCTTTGCAGCTTGAGACGTATGCGAACTTTAGTTCGGTTTTTTGCGATTTGGTCGGGGAATAAATTGACATCTATTCGTGTTTGTGTGGGGCTTACAATGACCATCGACCTTGCCTCTAGTGTGCTGTTTGTACGCTTGGTGTGGATGAGCATTACCGGCCACTTGGTACAATCTGATTAGGTGGCCGCATACAGCAATGTATCGGCTAAAGTTGTAGCGCTATAGCAGTGGCACTACTTTTGGTTGATTGGTTTTTTGTATATATATAAGCACACTTTCGGTCGAATGCTGTGAGTGTGCAAATAGCAGGTGAGGAAAGCTATGACATGTCTGTTAGTGTTCGTTATGCTGTGTAGAGGGCAGTTTTGCATGCATTCTGGTAATATTTCAAATATTTACACACTCGTTTATTTAGTTCAATAAGTTTGGGCAATGTGCAGTGTTCTCACATATATCCAGTGTGGTGCTTCGCAACATGGTACCTTTCAGCAGTTTATGCAAAACATCTTCCGATCGAAATAAATTTGAGCAGGCGCAGGTTTTAGTTCAACTGCACGGTAGTTTCTAGAGCTTGGACGAAAATAGAGGTTGCTATCTAAGTAATGGATAGTTAATGATGAACTGTTAGTTTCGCTTCATGGTAGTCTCCATTGGTAGTAAGCATTGATCACCAGTTCATGCAAAACATCACCAATTCAAAGTTCATCTCCTTTAAAAGTACCCCAGTATACTATGGTACTATTATTTACTATATTTATTTACTAAATTTACTATTACTATTAATATAACTATAACGTATATATATATATATATGTTTAAAAATTAATAAAAATTATATAATTAAAAAAATTAATTTATATTAATAGTAATTATATTATTATATTTACTAGCTAATTATATACTATTAGTACTAAATTTAGTTACTATTATTTTGACAGTACTTGTCGTCTGTGAAGATGTGTGGTTATAATATCGTTCACAACATAGACAGGAACCGGTCGTTCTAATGCTGCTACACAGAAAGAGGAATTGTCCTGAACTCTTAACTATGCTTATACGACTCTGACACCTAATATATATCATGTTCAAGTACTTGCCCGTGTCTACTTTACGAGATCTACCGATAAGATGTTAGCATGTATGCAGTCTATATTCACATTAATTTACCTAATATGTAATGGACGAGGCTTTGACGCCAACGAGGGAGGCTAAGCACTCGTGTAAAGGTAACCACCGGCAGTCTGTTAGGGGCGTGGCAGAGAACGCCATCTCCCCTAGAAATCGCAACTCCGTGAAAGTCTCTTTCTTCTCTCCGCCGAGTGGCTTGCTTGGTCGCGGAAAGAAAAAGCGAGTGATCAGCACGGAACGTACCATCCTTGGTGGGGCAGTTGAGGAGACTGTTAAATCGGAGTGCGTGTGGCTGTCGCATGTGCGGTAGTGTGTGACATGTGTGCGTAGCATGCGGGCGTGCGTGCGTGCGTTTGCGTGCGTGCGTGGTGCGTGCGGTGCGTGCGTGCGTGTGTGGGTGTTGTGAAAGCGTGTGTGGTATTGCGTGCGCATGCGTCGAGGTGCGGTTGGTGTATGCTGCGGGTGCGTGGTTAGTGTCTGCGTGTGTGTGTGCGTTGTGTGTGTGTGTGTGAGAAGAGAGATAGAGAGAGCAGAGAAGAGAAGCAGACGAGAGAGAGAGACGATCGGGAGGAGAGAGAGAGAGATGAGAGGAAGAGGAGAGAGCAGAGAGAGAAAGCACTGGATGAGTTAGTGCCAGATCCGTCTCGACTATGTACACAGCAAACAGCAGATAATCATCTAAGTTCTAACTAGTGGTTCTGCTGTACACGCTGCCACTGCCACTGAGTGCGCGGTTGCAAATTCATGAAACGTCTATTTCGGTGAGATACTAAAAATAATGCGCGCAGGCAGTGGGCGTGTACGCCCCCCCTCTGCCTCTCTCTCTCTCTTCTCTCTCCCTCTCTCTCAATCTCTCTCCCCCTCTCTCTCTCTCAATCTCTCTTCCTCCTCTTCTTTCACTCCTCTCTCTCTCTCTCTCTCTTCTCTCGTCTCTACTCCGTCTCCCTCTCCTCTCCTCTCCTCAACTCTCTCTCCCTTTCGTCTTTTCCTCTCTTGCTCTCATCTCTCTTCACTCTAATCGTCTCGCTCTCTATCTCTCTCTCCCATCTCCTCTCTCTCTCTCTCTCTCTCTCTCTCTCTCTCTCTCTCTCTGCGCGTGTGTTGCCACCGAGTTGTGTACCTTTGATGTTATGTTAGCTTTTGGTGCAGGACTCCACGTGAACTCTCGTATTCAGGGCAGTGGGGCAGAAAATGTAGGCATTATATTTATTATGTAGGTTTCCCGCATAATTTTCTTTATTTTGATGTTTGTTATGCCTCCTCTCCCGCACTTGGTTCCAACCTCCTCCCTAACTCGTCTTTCTATCTCCCCCTCCCTCCCTCTCTC